AGGGGAGGGGAGGGGAGGGGAGGGGAGGGGAGGGACTTCCAATAGTCCACCTTCCAAAGCAGCCATTTGCTCCAAGTCATCAGCTGTGACCCCAGGAGGTCTCCAGCCACCACCCTCTCTGCCCAGCACACACACACCTCTGATTGCAATTTTGGATTATTCACGGCAATAGCATAATACGGAACCTTTAGAGGCTCAAAGCATTTCATTCTGGAAATCTGAAGGATTGCCAGCCTCCAGGTGGGGCCTGGTGATCCCAAACCAGCTACAATTACAGCTCTGGAGGGCAGACTCTAGGGCCTTATGCCCCACGCTGAATCCCTCCCCTCCTCAAACCCCACCTTCCTCAGGCCCCACTCCCTAGTCTCCAGGAATTCCCTGACCCAGAGTTGGCAACCCTAGAAATCTGGGTGGAAATTCTGCCGATGCACCCTCTTCTGCCGATGCACCTTAAAGATGGACAAGCTTCAGTGGGTGAAAATAATGCACGCAGCACAAAAGCAACCGCTCTGTGAGGATCTACTCCCTTGCATGCGATGGATGAAATGCGCGCAGCACAAAAGTGACAGCTCCGTGAGGATCCACTCACATGCACGCGATGAACTGGGCTCAGGAACATTTCTGCAGGAATCGGTTTGTTTTTCTAAAAAGGTGCCACCAAATTCCTTTTTATTTTTACCGCCTCTCCAGAATTTATACTGCTAACAATAACTTCGGCTGAGTTGATGATATTGGCTATCCTGTATAAAGACCTTCATGGTCTCGGCCATTGTTCCCTCTAAGCTGAGTGAGTGAGAGCTAGCTCACAGTTTATTAGCTTCCGTCTCACACATTTTTGTCTTGGCTCAGGAAGGATGGCTCCAGAGCAAACTAATTTATGCAGTAGCCAAATCGCTCACTCACAACTTTAATGCCAGTAGCTCACAAACTCCACAGCTTAGAGGGAGCATTGGTCGCAGCCCCTCTTTATTTACAGGACGGCGCAGCTCTATGCTCCGCCACGACAACTCCGCTCATGCCAGCAGGGACTGGCTCCCCTGCGACCTCGAGTCCTCCTCTAGTCTTTTCGATTCGAGAGACTCGATTCCGGGCTGCTTTTCTGTGTAAGTTCGGGGGGGGGGGGAATCTCGGATTCTGTCTATTTTGCATTCTGCAATTTTATTTTATTTTTTGCAAAAAAAAATTTTTGCAATTTTATTTTATTTTAGTTTGCATTTTTTTTAAAACTTATTTTTCAGCCCAGAAAAAAGAAAATGAGACTGAAGCTTCCCTGACTGTGTGCCCTGGGTAAACGTGGCCAGCTCTCTGGAATGCACCATTGTTTTGACCAAGTGGGTAGCTGTGTTGGTCTGAAGCAACAAAGTTTTTGTCCAGCGGCACTTTGAGTTTAATTCTGGGGATAAGCTTTCGTGTTCATGCACACAAAAGCTTATCCCCAGAATTAAACTTCGTTGGTCTTCAAGGTGCTGCTGGACTCAAACTTTTGTTTTGACAAAGTCAGAGTAAGGACTTCAGAAGTGCAGCACAGGCCAAGTATCTTGAACTTTGCACGCATGAACTGTAACATTCTGTTCCCTGCTGCCTCATTCTCCTGCATATCTGAACCAGGTCCTGTGGAACTTTAAAGCCACATACCCACAGCTATCGTGGGTATCACGTCTTGTCTCGACTCCTGGTGGAATGAGCTCCCATATGAGATCAGGGCCCTGCAGGGCCTTTTACTGTTCCACAGAGCCTGCAAGATGGAGCTCTTCCGCCAGAATTTTAGTTGAGGCAGCAGGCGTCTCCCTACAGTGGGTCAGATCTGTGTTACCATCTGGGAACCCCAATATGAAATAGACCTCATCTCTTGAGCCTCCGACTAGAAACATAGGAATATTATTGTATTTTATCCAGTGTATTTTAATTGTTTTTAATTGTATACGGTATTGATGGAACCTGCCCTGAGCCTGCTATGCAGGGAGAGCGGGATACAAATCTAATAAAATAATAAATAAATAAACTGTCAGTAAGCCACAGCCTAAATTTATTTACTTCATTTATACCCACCTTATACCCCTAATTTTCCTCCTCTGATTCATCCTCACAACAACAACAACAACAACAACCCTGTGAGGTGGTTTAGGCTGAGTGTGTGACTACTCCAAGGTCCCCCAGCGAGCTTCCATGGCAGAGTGTGGGGATTCGAAACTGGTTGGCCTAGACTGACAGTTTAATGCTACACCACACTGGCTCTTAGTTCTGGCACCAATGTTTGGGTCTTCAAGGGGTCACAACCCTGTGAAGAAAGACTGGGCCATTGTTACGGCTGTGTTTTGTACCCATCCCAGAATTCTTTACAACAGTCCTGCCAGGAATGCTTGCCACTTCCTCAGTGATTTAGAAGGAAGTAGGGAAGAGAGAGGCCCAATCTTAGGCTACCTAGGCAGTCTGCATCCAAGGTGGGCTCATACATGCTTCAGACCAACACAAAAACCTGGATGTCTGCAGTCTAGCTAACACCCCACCCAAAGAGGATGCAACATTTTCAAAACCTGCACCGTTCTTTATCGAGAGGAAACTGACACCAGGAATAATCAAGAACGTCCGCCCCCTTCCCAAAAGCAAGAATGCAGAGATGATGTTTTGTGTTGAAACTGTAGCTATGGAACATCTTGGGGAGGGGGGGATTTTTCTCCAGGCCGCACCGCTCACCTCCATGGCTGACGCCAGCCAGTGATTCCAGTCCCGCCCCCTGGGTACAACCTGCGTCAGGAGTGAAACCGGAGCTCCACTGGAACAGGAGCAAGCCAGCTGCTAGCCATGGAGCGGAATGGCATGCATAGATTTGGGGAGGGGGGGTTGTTTGAACTTCAGGGTGTGGGGGGGGGGAGTACCAAACCCTGCAGGATTTCGGGTGTGAAGAACAGCAGGATTTCGGGTGTGAAGAACAGCTCACCGACGTTGTTGCATGATTCGTACAAGGATCGTGGAGAAAGAGCGTGCATGCGAGGGGTCATGCTAAGTTTGCCCTCAAGGCTGATAACACAGTCTGGTCTACTTGCTTCCAAACCAACATCACCACAACACACACACACACACACAGAGAGAGAGAGAGAGAGAGTGTTCTGGTTCACTTACAACACCCAGAGAACAAAGAGTCGTGCCAAAACTATGACCAAAAAAGTGTGCCACGTCTTGGAATCATAGAGCTGGAAGGGACCTCCAAGGTCATCTAGACCGCAGCAACAAGAAGAAGAGGAAGGAGGAGGAGGTGGGAGGAGGAGATTGGATTTATACCCCGCCCTTCACTCGGAGTCTCAGAGTGGCTTACAAGCTCCTTTCCCTTCCCCTCCCCACAACAGACACCTTGTGAGGTAGGTGGGGCTGCGAGAGCTCTGACAGAAACTGCTCTTTTTAAGGACAGCTGTGCCAGAACTATGGCTTGCCCAAGGTCATCCAGCAGCTGCGAATGGCGGAGTGGGGAATCAAACCCGGTTCTCCCAGATTAGAGTCCACGCACTTAAACACTACACCAAACAGGATAGTACACTTTAAAAGTTAGGTTAACACTAATGACCGACAGATTCAGGAGGCAGCCGTGTTGGTCTGAAGCAGCAGAACAAAGTTCGAGTCCAGTGGCACCTTCAAGACCAACAAAGTTTAATTCAAGGTATGAGCTTTACCCGAAAGCTTATACCTTGAATAAAACTTTGTTGGTCTTAAAGGGGCCACTGGACTCAAATGAATGACTGATTAAAGGATTCCAGCCCTTGACATGGTCCATTCTTCAAATTTCATCAGGAGAACTGCTTCCCCCTCCACCCAAAAAAGTTGCCTCCCGTGCAAAGACATGGCCCATCCAAGAATTCCTCTGCAGTGTCACTCTACTTGCAGAAAAAGCAGCCCCGCCTCATTTATCATGGTTAAATGGAACTTCCATGTCTAGGGGGAGTGTACCTTCAAAACCAGGTGTCCAGGAGAGCGCAGGAGTAACCCACTGCTACATGTCTAACTTGTGGGGTTTCTAGGGGCATCCAGTCAGCCCCTACTAGAAACAGGGCCAGATGGGATGGATCCAGCCAAATGTTTTGGTTTCTCGGGCAGCTGTGAAAAAGGCACACAGCCTCTGGAGAGGTAAAAGAGCACACGACCACGAAGTTAACCTCGTGATGGCCTCAGTGGCACGGGCGCAGACACAAAAGCGCTCCTGTTTGGGAGAGCGACTGTGCCAGACTGGTTTTGGCCATCTGCTCCTCCACAGCATTGGAGAGATATTGTGGCCTTAAGAATGTTGGGATGCGTGAGGCCTCGTGCGTGAGTCCTTGAGGGGCGACTCTTCATCTGAGGAAATGGAGCAAGTGTGGTTGCCTTCCACAGCACTCGTTGTCCTTATTAATGCATTTTGCACAGACATGCTGCCGATCATGCTTCTTGCCCCCATGTTTCCCCTTCTCTGCCATGCATGCGG